AGTTAGCGTCTTTCGGATAAATGACTCCTTTCAAAATAAACATGGTGAATTCTTAGATCTCATCTAAGCAGCAAAGGAAATCCCCTGAACGAACCGGGTCCGATGCAGGGGTTTGGAGTTACACGCTGAGAAACTTTGCTTGTTTAACAGAGAGGCTTTCTCTAGGGTAATAAAACTCTCGCATTGCTGTGCCAGGGATTTTCCATTAGGTGTGTGTCAGCGGGTGGTGGGAGCTGCAGTTTCTGTGGCCGGTCATAGAAATGGAGTGAGATCACCTTGGAGAGGACGACCACAGATCCCAGTGAGTCCACAACAGCAAGAACTGGGAAGAGAGCTGGGGGAAGGGAGGTTTGCATACAGCTAATGGGTCCCCCAAAGGTTTTTTTTTCCTTATGTATCCATTAATTAGCAGTCATGTTCGAGTCTGATAAAACAGTCCCAAAGCTTCTCCATTTTCCTTCAACCCAGGGGAAAGTCTCTCACTAGACAGGCTAAGTGAGGCAGATGTACGGCTCCATCGTCTTCCTGCGTGCCTAAAATCCCATAAGCAGCCCCGCAGCATGGAGACAAAGGGCAGTGCAACACAGCAGCCTCTACCCCTCCAGCCCTGGGGCTCTCTAGGGAATGCAATGGTCAAACCTCATACAATTCCCTAGTTATTTGTACTGACCTAGGCAGAAGGGGCTTCGCCCAGGCTCAAGGGAGCAGTGATTTAAGGTGGGAGTTCAGGATCCCAGTTCAGAAGATCCCATGGCTGATGAACCTTCAGCTCTCTGTTACCTATTGGTGAGGACAAAGAGTGATGGATTTGGATTCATATCTGAGTCAGACCAAACTGATGACTAGAGCAGCCTGGGTGCACTATGAGCATCTCTCTTAAAGTTAAAAGACACACTACATTACATCACCACGGGTTCTTCTTGCTCATGTGTGGATTTGTACACATGGGATGGTGTGAAGGGGAGGTATTTTTTAAGGTGTGAATGCAAGGATACTCGGGTTTGCAACTGTAAGTTTGCAGCCATAAGGTTTTTTTCCCTAAAGACGGAAAAAAACAGAACAGTTTTCCAAAGAGAGCCTTCCTTTTGATGTAGTTTTCATTTTACATGACACTGGTTTGGGGATGTCAGCTAAGGTTAGTGGTCTTTAGCCTTCTATATCTTGGTATTGCTTTCCCTCCCTGTTCCAATCAACTAGTGCAATAAGCCAACTGATGGGCCCCATAAAAGCACAGGGAGTTTGGCTATGAAATAGAAGAACATATATTGACTGTAACTACCCCACTACTATCAGATTTCATCATGGTAATGCTAATGCACAGTAAACAGGCAACATTTCCCTGACAAGACCATGATACCATCACAGACCTCACTCTCAAATCAGGTCGATACCAATCTACAGTTTCATGATGTAAGATTTCAGAATGGGCCTGGTGCCTCCAAAGTACCAGAGTGGATTGATGAAGGTGACACAGAGCCACCAAGGAATCACGGCACTTCTCCTGAAGCAGTGCTGGCCAGCTTGACCTTCAAAGATCATTTTCACTGCTCAAAACCACCACAATATCCCGCAGGACAAGTCCAATGGATATTTTTATTAGCTGCTTCAGGAGTACAAACATTGACCTGGCTGCTTAATGGTATGGTTCTCCCAAACACAACCTAACAAGACTGTGCAGCATCCAGCCTGTGCATGGGATGTTAAACGACTCCCATCTCCTTTGCAGTCAAGTGCATGGGGTGTCCTTGTGGAGCAGGGGGTGAATGCTGGTTGCAATGGAGGTATATTCAGTCTTACGAAATTTGAGGACTGCAAGTAAAAGCCACTGCTGAAATTACATATGGAGTGATCTTAGACTTGCTCTCTAAGAGGAATTTGTTCTTTAAACAGAAGCCCAACAGAAAACTCTGTGGATCCCATCTACAGTCAACTGTGAAAAAGTCAAGGCAGAACCACGCACATCACTCCTGTGGTCCCCAAGAAACCAGAGACACAATACAAAAGGACTACAGATCCTCTTCTTCACAGGAGGCCAAGGGAGGTAGATGCTCAAATGGCTGGGTAACTCAATGGGAGTTGAATTACTCTACCACCCAGGTCCTCTTGACAGTCCCAGTGGCCACTATTCCACATCCTGAGATGACACCACAGGGGCCGACTGACATCCTTCGTCGAAAGAGTGATGAGGGAAGAAACTGAGCCCGAGCACACCCCATGCATGGCATTATTGAGCCTTGATCCTAAAGCCAGGTATGAATGTACCTCAAGGCTCAAGGAATCTGCAAGCTGCTGTTTCCAAAACACTTCCCAGTGGAAACACTTCCCAGTGTTTCCAAAACACAAGCAAAGCAACCATCCACTTTCATATCTAGGGAGGAGACATCTTCAAATGAGAGAGACTTTGCAAGGGAAGCCAAGCTGCCCCACACGCTCTGAGAGCCTCTGGCAAGTCCATTGGTTTATTCCTTAAAAATGGGCAGTGGGTATGATGAAAGTGTGAAATCTGGCTTTTCTGGTCTTCTCTGAAAGCCAAGAAATATGATTCTAGCCGGCAGGCTGGACAGCAGCAGGGAAAGTAGCAGAGCTGGTCCTGGCAGTGCTATAAGCAATATAGCAAAGGGGGAAAGGCAGTTATGGGATTGGGGAAGCCAGAAGACTGTACAGAGGGAAAAGCAAGTGTTGAAAATGGCAGTGAGAAAGGCAAGAGCTCTAAAGAAATAAAAACTGATGGGAAGAAGGAGTTAAAAGAGCTGCAGCAAGTTCACCTTTTGTGGGAACACTTGAATTTCTTTATAATCTCCCTCCTTGGTTGGGGCAACAAAGCATGAGATGGCTCCAAAAGATTTGAAACCAACTGCATCCCACTGGAAGGATGGGTCTAGCCAGCAGCAGACCATGTGAAACCAATAAATAAGGGGAAAAATGAGACAAGGATGACATTTGGGGGGGGGGGGGGGGGGGGGGCAAGGAGGAGATTTGGGGGGGGGGTGGGGAAGACGGTGAAATAACATTTTGAGAATGGATGTACTTTTTGTAAAATATTTTCAAGAGATGGCCAGGAAAGGGGTCTGATCCATTTAGTGTCTTGCACAAAGCACTAGGCACCCTGCAGATTCATCTGCAGGCTTGTTCCTTCACTGCAAGAAAATATCCTCGCAGGCACAAGCTGCTGAGGCTGAACAATTCAACATCAGAAACCTTGCGGGAACTAGGCACAGACCACCAGGTCTGTTAGAACAGCCTGTCCTGCCTGACCTCTTAGCAGTGCCTATGCCATGTAATTTAGATATAAAATTTATTTCTGTGACCTGGTGTGTTACGTTAGTGCCTGTGCTTGGCATTAAACAGCTACTATATTCTGTCTCACATCCAGAAGGAAGTCTGCCTTAAGTCAGTGCTACAGGAACTTTAAAATAAAACATAGCATACGTTCAGGATGACTAATATATTCCCTGATGCTGGCTTACACAGAGCATGTTGGAAAAGTTGCTTTATTTTGTGTCTGTCGTTTAGAAAATGTGACTCCACATCCATTGTGCTGGGCTCAGGGACGCAGACAGCCTCCCCGCGTGAGCACAGGGACATGGAGATGCGGCTCATTTCGGTGGGGGCAGTCGGAGAGCAGCCAGCGCTGAGCACCCCCGCGTCTCTCCCCAAAAAAACCTTCGCAGAGCTGCTCTGCGAGGGGCAGGGTGATTTTCATTCATGATAACACTGAGCGTCTTTAATCATGTCTAGGAAGGAGTCCAAGCGTCCCTCTGAAATGGCCGCAGCTCCGGGACAACCCAGTTGAGGGGAATGGAGGCCTCTCGTGGGCTTCAAGGCAATAAAACCCGGCACTCAGTTAGTCCCATGGGTCCTATCTGCTACAGGAGGGTGATGGCAACCTACTGAACCCATCGTATTTCTCAGTCTGTTGCTTTCTTGCCATTCCCTGGCTCCCTCCCTAAATCACTTCAGGTCATAACCATTACAGGTTGCCACTACTTCAGCTCTCTGCATTCACCACTCACGACCCACACATATCCAAACCTGAGCTGGGCTCGTAATGCCTACATCTGGGTGAGAGGTGAGTGGTCCTGAACAAACAAGCAAGTTTCCTTTCCGAAAGCACTATTTTACTCTTTTTGGTTAGCTAGTTTGATCATCTGCTAATGAAATACTTTAAAATAAAAGCAAACTTCAACTGGTAACAGCAGAAAACCACAACCACTGACTAATTAAAGCCTTTTTCTAACACACAAAAAACAAGACCACCCAATAGCAAGAGCAGAACTGATGAATCCTGCTAGGTATTTCTTACATCTCTTTGGCCCCCTCTGCAACACACAGGAAGGATGATCTTGAAGTATGAACTGTAAGTGTATCCCACAGACATGCTACTTATTAGCTGATTTTTTTTATTTTTGAAAAGATAAACAGTAGTATTAGACCAGTGCTGAATTACTGAAGAGTACTCTGAATTACCTGGAGCCAAGAATTAAGATATACATCAAATTTAGATCTTGCATCCATTCTGGTTTGAGCTACTTTGGTTGGGTGGGATTAAAATCATATAAATACAATCGTTCTTTTCTCCCCCACCCAAAACCCAGGCATCAGAAAAGATCCTCCTTATAATGGTAACAACCATTATAAGGTTGGGGGAACATCATTTTCAGGAGAAGGCTCTGGAAAGGTTTAGAAGATATAGAGTACACCCCATCACATCAGAGACAGCTACAGGACGTGTTTGTGCTCTTCAGTCATCTCTGCTCAACCACCCGCTCAGAAAAGAGATAGAGGTGCTTGCTACAAAAATAGAAAATTAATGCAGTCCAGAGTATCTACTGATCTCAAGGGCCAGGTTTTTACAGTGGCTGTGGAAAGTAAGCTGAAATCCAACTATATCTGGCCTTCTCCTGCTCACCTCCATGTGGCACCTTCACTGACTTGCCATCATTGTTATCAGTAATTCCTATACAATGTGACACAGAGAGAGAAATAAATGAGACACTTACCCTCCTTCAAAGATCTTGATCCTGACTGGCTCCCCTCTTTTGGTTACAAGAGCCTCTTCTTCTGATTTTCCTCTTTTATCCTCTTCCTTCTCAGCTCTAGTTACATCTTTTCGACCTTCATTAGAAAGGAGCGAAGGCAAATGAACCTATCTCCCCAAAAGAGCAAAACAATCATTGATTACATACAAAATCACTCTAAGACAGACACAGACCAAACAGTCTCAGAAAGAGCCAGCAACCTACCACACACGCTGCTCCTGACAGCTAAGTGCAGTAATTAGGACATCCTCTTAACAAACAGGGCCTCTGCTTCTGGATTTTGAGTCCTGCTGGTTATGATGTATTTACAGTGACTGCTTACAAGTTTTTAAATCACCCCCTGCATATGGTGGCTCAATATCATCCAGCTCTTGCCAACTGGAAAACTGAGGCATAAGAGAAGTGTCTTGGCTGGGGTCACTCTGAGCATGTGGTGGAGCCATGGGTCTCTGTTCCAAATTCCACTGCTCTGTCCTTGGGTAATATATATCTCTAATATATGTATGTCTCTAATATATACATGTAAAAAGGTCTAGAGAGGAGGGATCTGTAGAATTCATATATTTAACCTCAACCTTTGGGGTTCCCCCACATACACACACATTCACACAAATTTGGACTTTAGCTATTTAAGCTTGATATAAATCACTTGACAGTCAAAGCTCTCAGGTGATTTCCTTTCACTGAAACCATGTTGCCAAGGGCACAGTACAGAGAAAGCCACAAAACCAATGGGAGAAAATAATCCTCAACCTCCCCAGATGTTCCCAAGGTGAAATTTGCTTTTTCACTGTTAAACTCGCCACCCCTTGTTTAGACCCAGGTTTAAGTCATGCACTGACATCTCATCTAGCATGTTTAACGTTATTTGTTATAGTATATGGACTTAAACATTAGAGCTGCCTCTCTAGCTCTGTACGATGCAAGGGGAGCTCCCCACACCTGGAATGAAATATTGGGGTGTTGCCCCCCTGCAACCTAACAGTACAAATAATAGGGGTCTCCAAAGCTCCGAAAGAGGAAAGCAGATTGCCTTTCACCCAGGCTACTTTTTACACAACTGCAAGAATATCTGAAGTTCAGTTGAATTACCCATATCCTCACTTTATATATAATTTATGGGAAAAGACTAAAGGCATTTGAGAGACCAGGGTTATTAGAGGGATTTTGGCCTGAACGTAGCCAATGAACTGGCAGAAGTCTAAAGCAGAGCTGGTCACCCTTGACTCTTTACAGATGCTGGAA